AAAAAAAAAGTCACCTCTACTTTAATCAAGGAAGTTTTAGGCATGGGGTATAGCTCATTGGTAAAGTGCTTGCCTGGGCACAGAGACATAGTTCAGTGACAGAGCACTTGCTTGGCATGAGCAAAGCCTTGAGTTCACTCCCCAGTAATCAAAAAAAAAGAAAGAAAAAAAGAAAGAAAAACAATGAAGTGCTTGTCTAGCATGCATGAGGTTCCACCTCTAGAACTGTAAAAATAAAAAAGTTCTATTATACAGCATGACTCGACTTCTACAAAATGACTTCTTCCTGAGTTTCCTTTACATAAGAAGTTTTAATAAAACTTCTCTGTGAATCAATTAAGGAAACTCACCTTGCATCAGAAGCAAAGTAATATTCTACTGCTTTTTCTTCAACAGGGAAAAGGCAAGTAGTGCTGTCCACACGAGAGAGATTGCAGCCTCCTTTCTTGTCTTTGCCTAGAGCACACAGTTAATGTGAATTGGCAAATATGTAGAAAATCATGCCTGATATAGAAAAATACATAATTTTTTACAAAATCAACAACATAACAACAACAATTTAAAAAAACCATAGCAACACAAAATTATTTCAGCAACTTTTAAAAGCCGGATAGATACCTTATTTCCATGCAATAAGCAATAAGAACAGACCAAAAGTGTAGAGTGAAATAGCAACTATAAAAGAATGCGTGGCAGATAATAGTACTACATTACAAAATTTTTAATGTAATATTTCTTTTCAAATCCAATAATTCATTAATACCATCAACTTTTTTAAAAATCAAAAATAAATATAGATTAATCTTAACCTTTTTCTCACACCAAACGTGATGGACTTAATACATGTAAGTTTGTGGACCTATATTTATCACAAAAATTACATTAAAAATATCAAAACTATAGAATAATAATAAGTAGTGGCAAATTAATCTTCATTGTCCTATAACAAACTTCTCTAGATTTCAATAGCAAATCAGCTAAAAAATCATGTTGTGGTCTATACTAATTCTGATTTAAAAACAAAACAAAGACATATCTCTCTAACTATGGAACATCCTTCAAGGGACCTACTATCAGATACAAGAAATAATACATACCAAGAATCTCTCCTGTCTTAAAATTGTATTGTCTTATAATTCTTTTAAGTCAGGGTAGAGTATGGCCCCTTTGTAATGTTAGCACCTTTTTAATTCTAGCACTTCAAAATTCTGGCATCTCTACTTAATTTGTCAAGTCAGTGATAGCTAAGGTTTTTTTTTTTTTTTCTTGTTTAGTTACCTAAAGTGAACACGAGGAAGTATGTTAAAATTTGACAAATTAGCCTATGTAGAAAAAAAAATATATTAAAGACTCTATAATTACACTTAAGACCAAAAAAAAAGGCTCCATTCTCCAGGACATAGTAGACCTCATAACCTATCAACACAATAGCCAGATTGTAAAAACTCATCTTCTAAAATGCACATATAAAGACTTGGAAATAACTGCTATTAAAAACATATATCCAAAGTTCTCCACCACCTGTAATTATTTAGTGTATTTTAGGCATGAAAATTAAATAGTTCGGAATTGAGGTTGTGGCTCAACGGTGCTCCTCTAGCACGTGCAAGGTCTTGCACATGGGTTCAAGCCTCAGCACCACATAAAAATAAAATAAAGGTTTAAAAAAAATGAAATAGTTCCTCCCACCTAAATTCAGAATAGGAGAAGATATCAAACTTTAAAAAGTAAGCATAATATAACATCCTAAAAAAGACAACTTTATGGAAAGGTAACATATCAGTACTTGCCATTGTTTTCAAAGGTACAGCTTGAGGGAACTCTCTAGGGAAGAGTACTGTTGTACATCTTGATTATGGTAGTGATTAAACAACTGTTTGCTTTGACAAAACTCTTGAAACTGCCCATCAAAAAAATGAATATTATTGTATCTAAAGAAAAGTGAAAGCACTGCAAGTGTAACTCAGTAACAGAGTGTGTGCCTAGCATGCACAAGGTCCTGGGAAGGAAAAAGAAAAGTGAACTTAAAGACAAGTAGAAAAAGCCATGCACAGTGGTGCATGCCTCTAATCCTAACAACTTGGGAGACTGAGGCAGGAGGATCACAAATTCAACAACTTAGCAAGAACGTCAGCAACTTGGTAAGATAAAAAAAAAAAAGGACTAGGGCTGTACTCCATGGTAAAGTGCTCCTGAGTTCAATCCCCAGTACAAAAAGAAAAAAAAAATCAAAATAAATACGATATTCTAGCACTTATATTTAAAAAAATATATAACTAGCTTTGTATATAAAATGTCATAATAGGGTTGAGCTTCACTACAAATATTGACAATGTACAAAAGTACAATTAATCACAATATTAAAAAAGAATTTTTTTATTTATGTAACACCTATACAGATTTTATAATATCCAAAATGTTTCCCGTGTATTGATTATCTCATCTGGTGGAAATGGAATACAATTATCATCCCTGTCCTGCAGAGAGAAAGGAGGCTTTAATTTTATTTGGTCAGTGATCACACTGGGAAAAAAAATGGTGAAAGTCTAAAAGGCAGCCCAGAGTTCACTCCTTATACAACCCCTTCAGTAAGAGGCCTCACTAAGCCACACATTACCTACCTATACCTAGTGAAATAGTTACTCAAATATAATCTATAAAATTTTCTTCTGATTTCTTAAGACTAACCAATGATTTTCATTATTTCTAAAAATAACCCAAGACAACTTACAATATATAAAGAATATATATACACAAGCAAAATTATTCACAGAAATCTGGAACTCTGGGTCCAAATTATGTATTCTCATTGGCAGATATTTTTCTTCTGGAAAGACCAGAGAGTGGAGTGGGGTACAATAGCGTAGGCCTGTAATCCCTGCATCTCAGAAGACAGAGGCAGGAGAAACATGAGTTCAAGGCCAGCTCAGCAACTTAGTGAGGCCCCAAGCAACTCAGTGAAACCATCTCTAAATAAAATGCAAAAAAGGGCTGTGGATGTGGCTCAGTGGTTAAGTGCCCCTGAGTTCAATCCCCAATACCAAAAAAGAAAAAAAAAAGACAGACTAGGGAGTGGGAACAGGGATGGGGGAGTGGCAGGGGAAGAAAAGAACTTCTAACATCTCAAGATTGGGGAGGTCATTTAAGAAAATAACTTTCTGCTCTAGATAAAAGAACAAATGTAGTCACCATCAAAGGTAAAAGGGCTTAAAGTTCTTTGCTAAATGTTTTCCAAAAAATCAAGAATGTATAAATTTAAATTTCCTGAAACTACCACTCCCTATCTTTTACATAGAAATCTTTTAGCAATAATAGAGCACACTGTGGTTGTCACTTTTATATATAATTGTATCAATAAAATGGTCCAGAGTTCATATAGGTAGAAGTCCTCTTAAAAAAACAAAACCTCAATGGGTATGGTGGCACACATCTGTAATCTCAAAAACTCAGGAAGCTAAAACAGGAGGATCACAAGTTTAAGCCAGACCTGGGCAACTAAGTCAGACCCTGTCTCAAATTTAATGGAACAAAGGGGCTGAGGATGCAGCTCAGGACTGGGGATGCAGCTCAGGGTACCCCTGGTTTCAATCCCCAATACAAAAAAAAAAAAAGAGAAAATTCAAGTAAACCTCAACACAAAATAATTTCAAATTCAAATAAAGCCAATCAAAATATCAAATGACATTATTTTTAGATAATAAACTGATGCATAAAATAAAGACAACTTAAATGTATTATCAGTTAAAAGCTAGGCTAAATTATTCAAACAACTATTCTTAGGTTCCATTTATAATAATGTAGAACACAGTGGTTTTTTCCCTAATATAAGGAGGTACCCTACATGATTTTAAAAAACAGAAGAAAATACTTTACGATTTCAGCTGTTTTCTCAAATCTCAGAGATTTTAATAAAACAAATTATTAAAAGCAGTTTTCTAAATGCCAAAAGCAAACAGACAAAATATATTCTGCAAATTAGAAAAATAAATGTCAAAATGGTTCCCCACAAAATAAGCACGTTTTTAGAGGCCCAGCACAATCATTCACTCCAAGAACAAAGAATTAGTAAAGAATGAACAAAAGAGGATAAGACTCCTCCCCATCCATGCACAGTGCATTTCCCACCTCTTTCTCCCTGTGATCCCCACCGTGTGAATTTTGATCCAATCTGAGTTCTAGCTAAGGATATACAACAGAAAAAATAATTCTACTTGTCAGAGAACTCACAAAACAAGTCTTTTTTACATCTAGACAGAAATATATATGTGCATATGAATTTGAGCAAAAAAACATTTATTCCAATTTAAGGAAAAAATTCTTTATATTTACTGCACTCAATTTACACATTTTCCCCATTGGCATGATGTAAGAGCAGTTTTACCTGTTCTATAAAGTATTGGAATGTGATCAGTAGAAAGCTTATGTTCGCTCCGCACACCAATCAACAGGGGGCTACCTCGTCTGTAAATCAAGTTAAGTCAGAATTAAACCATTTTTACAAATAATGTACTAAATAATATACTAATATAAATAATATTTTTACAAATAATCTATATAAGTAATATAATATTAATAATGAAGATTGCATTGAAGAATCAATATTCTTCAAGAAATGTTTTAATTCTCCCTTCAGATATAGTAAATGCAATGGGTTTGCAAATTAAGACCCACAGGCCATACTCGTCTATTTCTATAAATAAGGATTTCTTTCTGTTATTTTTAATTGACAAACTAAAATTGTATTAAAAAGAGGTTACTGGAACCCAGTCATACCCATTCTTTCACATACAATGTACAGCTGCTGTCACACTAGTACAGCAACACTGATGCTACAAAAGAGGCTACTTGACACAGAAAGCTTAAAGCATTTACTGTCTGGCCCAATCCAGAAAAAGGTTGCCAATTTCTATTCTATAACACCATACTTGAAATTTTTCTTTTTAATGTTAAATGAAATTTTTCTTTTGCTTCTACACAGAACATCTATATATAATGATCTCCTTCAGCCATCCTGCCTTTCATTTTAGATTAAAGATCCATCTCTCTCTCTCTCTCTCTCACCAAATCTTAAGGTTCCTCACTGTTTTAAAAAAGACTTCATGATTGGTTTTAAATATCCTAGCAAAAGCAGTGATGGTACAATTTTCTAGGAATCTATCTGGAACATATATTTCTAAAAAATATGAAGAAAGGTGAAGTTTTGAGTCTGAAATTAGAGAATATTAAATATCCAAATTCACAAAGTAAACACAGTTAACCTACCCAAAAGACAAAAGGCCAATTATAAATGCCAAAATGCATTTACTTTATTAAGGGATTCTGCTAAATCAGAGAGTGATGTAACAACAAACAAGGAGGAATACATGAAAAATAAACACTTACATGAATACCTCTAAGGAAAGTCCCTTACAGGCTTTACAAAATAACCCTGTCCCTCAAATGTTTCAAAATACATATAATTATTATTAGTCATTATTAGATTTATATGTACCTTGTGCCCACTGCTTGCCCAGGAAAATGAACACTTTTAAATACAAGTGCAAAAGCACCTTCCTATGGGGAAAAAAATACATTAGTAATACTTATAATCAATTACTAAAAGCAAAATGCTTGAAATAGTCTGGCTTCTTTCATTCACACAAGGGCTATTTTACACTAGTTTATAAAGAAGCCTGAGTTTCAGGCAAACAGTCCTGAGTTCTGGTATATACAAGACCAACTTTTAAAAATAAGATAACTTTCAAAATTAATAGCAGGAGGATAGAATAAGATTCCAATCTCAGTAACCAAAACCCATTCTTTGCCCTAGTAATTGTAAGCCACTGTTAACTTTCATTCTTTTTGACCTTGATATCAATAATGTAAATACATACAATCATGATTATTAACTTGCACACTACTGTACCCTGTCAAACCAACCTCCTAAAGGACGGAGTCTAAAGAATGGATAAAGGAAGAACCTGAGGTAGAAGAACAGAAAACCATTATAGAACACAAACTAGATTATACAGTAAAAAGAAGAAAAGGCTGAGAAGGCACACTGCTCTGCTATGGGTAAAGGGAAGGAACAAACCTTGAAATTCACCATCATCCTAACTCCTTCTGCTACAGACTTCATAAAGTTTGGTTGGGAGGAAAGGGTTGGATCATATTAGGGAAGGAAAGGGTTTTTAAGTGGGAAAGCTAGAGTTATATACGTAGGCATCAATATGGACTCGGTCTTTTGTGGCTCTTGAATGTCTTTAATCTTTACTTAGGGCAACTGAGATGGATTCAAAAGAATAGTGCTTTTTTCTTAGGCTGGAAAATACGTTCATATGGAGGTACAGGGCCAAGGAAAAGTGAACAAAAAAAAAAAAATTCATTATGCTGACTGAGAGACATGCAGACGTTATCCCAGAATAAGGTTGCATTTTGCTGAAGGTACTTGTGCTAAAATTATTGGTTGGAAGCAAAAGAGTGGTAATTCTCTACCATGTGTGCTGTGTATATGCATGTGTCATGTGTACAAGTGTGTATGCATGCTGTTTTCAGACAAACTTACTCTTCAATCTCACTACACCAAACTATAGTGAAATAAGTAGAATTTTAAGAGTTGAAGGAGGCAGTCAAATCACTAAGTCAAAAAAAATCTCAAAATTATTTAAGTTGAATTGTTTTGCATATGGAAATAAAGGCCAAAAATAATAAATTAGCATAGTTCCTATTTATAAGATTTAAATAATTTCTCATGATCAATGTTAAGATAACTAGATTTAAAAGTATGGTTTAATACCAATTGTTGGATAACTCTCTCCACCAAGGTAGTAAAACTGATATCTTGACTTTCACAGTTGTCATACATGTACTTAACAAGCTTGGCAATTGCTTCTGTGTCTGTTTCAGATTCAAAGTCATAGCCTTTGCTTTCCTAAGGGCAGGAGGGAAAAAAATACATTTAATAAGAAAATATGATATCCAAATCCTTTCTACAGAATTTTTTCCTCAAAAATCTCACTAATTTTTAATATTTTTTAAATATTTTTTTTTAGGTGTAGATGAACACAATACAATGTCTTTATTTTTATGTGGTGCTAAAGATCGAACCTAGGTCCCACCCATGCTAGGTGAGTGCTCTACAGCTGAGCCACCATCCCAGTCCCAATTTTTAATATTTTTAACACCATATTTCATTGCTCAAAATAAAGGTCACCATCTAATTACAATGAATCCAAAATAAAATGGTACTCTGTTTAACTGAACATATACTTAATTTATATAAATATATGCCACAGGAATTAAAATAAATTTTAAATAATTAAAATATAATAAAATATGTAACACTCAAAACACCAGTTTTTCTTTTTCTTTTTTAAAGAGAGAGAGACAGAGAAGAGAGAATTTTTTAATATTTATTTTTCAGTTTTCGGTGGACACAACATCTTTATTTTTTATTTTATGTGGTGCTGAGGATCGAACCAGCGCCCGGTGCATGCTAGGCAAGCGTATTACCACTTGAGCCACATCCCCAGCCCAAAACACCAGTTTTATAATGAATGTACCAATTCTTTTTTAGATGATGATATAATAAAATAAAATAGTCATGAGCTATATGTGGCTATCTAAATTTAAATAAAATTTAAAATTCAATTTCTCAGTCACACCAGGTCAACAGTCTAATGTGGATGGTGGTTACTGCAAAAGAAAAAACAAAAAATGTTTCCATCACTACAGAAAGCTCAATTGGATAAGCCTGAGAAGGTCACCAGTATGAATCATTATAATAGAACATATGGCTAGTTAGGACAAGGATCTTTCATTTAATCTTTATTGGCTCTTGTTATATGTACTAGAATTTTTTTAAATATATCAAATAGGGACTTTCATAGCAAAGATGTACCAGAAAAAACTCTGAAAAAAAATTTTTTTTTAAATTTTTGCATTGCCAGGGATCAAACCCAGCACCTTGTGAATGCTAGGCAAACACTTTACCACCAAGCTACCAACCTTCAAAACTACAATTTTATTTAAAGTTTGGTCACTTATAATAAAGTCAAATAATTATTGCCTTCTCATATAGGAAAACAGAATTGTTCCAGTCAATAAACCATCAAACTCTTGAAACTGTCTTAGAAATTATCTGATCATACTAAGATGGTGTTGCACATCCTAAGAAATAATCTCACTGATCTAGAGATATTCTAGAAGACAGTGTCTTTTGAGGTGTCTTTACTTACCAAAAACTTTTTCAAGTCCTTGTAGTTGGTGATGATTCCATTATGAATAACAATAAATTCTAAAAGGTATAAATAAAAGCAATGATGATGAAAAGTTTGATAAATGCTATAATTAACTATTATTATGAACAAATTTTTCTTAAGTCTATACTTCTTGGTGGAATCAAGTATTATCTATTTCTCATTATTAGATTATCACCAGGTAGATTAGCAGTATTATGTGGCTTAGCAGGAATATATTGTGCTAGGATAGTGCATATAGCAAGAAAACAATAATAAACTGGAATTCTGAAGACATTAATTTCCGTTTCGGCTAAATTACTATCCCATACTACCAGGTGAAAGGACAAAGTTTACTGGGCCTGTTTCCTCATTTGCAAACTGAGAAAGCTAAACTAACTCTTTTTTTTAATATTTATTTTTTAGTTATAGGTGGACATAATATCTTTATTTCATTTTTATGTGGTGCTGAGGATCGAACCCAGTGTCTCACTCATGGTAGGCAAGTGCTCTACCTCTGAGCTACAACCCCAGCCCTTGAACTAATTAACTCTTATTCTCATTTCTCAGTTCATTCTTTTTTCAGTATAAATTTAAAGAAAATTCCTTTCAAAACTACTACAATCATCTGATTTACTCTGAGTTAAAAGATCTAAAGTTAAGAAACTCACCAAGAATAACCAGATAGTTATTCAGGATTTTTAAAGTATTTGTTTATTTATTTATTTTAGTTGTAGTTGGACATAATACCTTTATTTTATTTAGTTATTTTTATGTGGTGCTGAGGATTGAACCCTGCCAGGGCTTCTTGTATGCTAAGCAAGCACTCTACCACTGAGCCACAACCCCAGCCTAGTTATTCAGTTTTATAATTAAATTTACTTGCCTGAGATCCTGATTTTTCCTGGAATGTCACATAAAAATTGACAAAATATCATTCCAAGAGCAAGTAAATATGATTTGGGAATTATTTTTAACCTATTCTTACTAAATAACTTATAAAAATGTCAGAATAAATAATCAAGAGTCAACATTACTTGTAGCCACTGGCAGAGCATGTAAAACTACCCATGTGGATTTATTAAAGTTCACATGTCAGGAGAAAAATTACTAAATCCAATTTTTTTTTTCCTCCTTTTTGAGATTGGGTCTCACTATGTTTTTGAGGTTTGTCTCAAACTCCTGAGCTCAAGTGATCCTCCTGGCTCAAGTTTCCCTAAATCAGCTGTGACTACTAGCACGTCACTGGTTTCTGACCAAATCTAATTTTTTATGACATCATCAAAATGTTTTTAATATACCTAAAGATTTGATATCTGGATTTGATAGTAAATGAACCTGAACTAAAATGCATTATAAACTAAAAAATACTTTGATTAGACATGTAGTAGATGATATCAACTATAAAAATAAATGTAAGAAAAAATTAAATGCTAAAACATAGAATCATAAGTAGTTGTCAAAAAGCCTTAACTTAAAGCCAAAATCTCAAAACACAATTTACATACAACTTTTTAGGACTCTTTTATAAAGGTCTTCTCAGTGTTAAAAATCTGAGTGTTTGCTAACAGTAGAATTCATTTCCATACTATTGAGACACAGAAAACTTAATAGGAAGCTTCTAAATTAAATTACAAACTCAAAAAGAACATACACACACACACACACTCAATTGTATGCATTTGCTTACATTTTAAAGGGAAGAACAGACTTAAAAAAACTGTTTAAAGAATTGGTGTATTGCTCACTAATATACACTTGTCAAGCTTGCATAAGGCCCTGGGTTTTATTCTAAGCACCATCACAAAAAAAAAAAAAAATTACAATATAGAGTTAAGATTTCTTTTTTGGTGCCAAGGATTGAACCCCAAGGCCTCACACATATTAAACATGCATTCATTCTATTCCAGAAGCCCCTAGACTTCTTTTAATATGCTTTGTTCTACAGATGTGGTTTCAGAATATTAAATAATTTTAATAAAATTAATTTTTTTTCCAGCACTGGGGAAATAAAAACAAACCCAGGGCCTTGCACATTCTATGCAAGTGCTCTACTACTGAGCTATGTCCGCAGCCCTTTGCATTTTATTTTGAGAGTGGGTCTTGCTGAATTGCCCATGTAGGCCTCAAACTTCTGGTCCTCCTGCCTCAGACTCCTGAGTAGCTGCGATTATAGGCATGCACCACTGCACCCAGGTAAGAAAATAAATTCCTAAAAACTAAATTAAATATATTAACATAATGCTATAACCAACTGGTAGCATAACCATATAAAGACACTGTTCCACTAATTTAATTATACATCCCTAAGGATAACAACAATAATTTAAAAAGTTTTAAATAAGAGTTTTCAACACTGGGGTTGTGGCTCAGTGGTAGAGTGCTTGCCTAGCATATATGAGGCACTGGGTTCAATTCTTATCACCACATATAAATAAATAAAATAAAGTCCACTGACAACTAAAAAATTATTTAAAGAAAAAGAGTTTTCAGTAAACACTGTTATGGTCATGTTGGTATTATTATTGTTATTATGAATATCAGGGGGTAAATTAAATAAAGATATTGCAAATGTTGAGAGTGGTTAAGCATGCTTGAAAGGAAAAACAGATATCAGATCAAGGAGATTCAGTAAAAACCTTATATCCCTGGACCTGAATTGGAAATTTAAGACCACATTGTTTTATCTTTAAATTTTACACAAATTAATTATGGCAATGATCGTCAATGGCTGCTAACACAACAAAAAGAAAAACATTTTGTACCTCCAAAGGAAAACAAACACCATACCAATTTAATACAAAATATACAGGCACTGTGGACATGGTCACTGTAATCCCAATGATGTGGAAAGAGAAATGCAAGTCTGAGGGCAGCCTCAGCAAGTTAGCAAGGCCCTAAGCAACTTAGTAAACTCTATCTCAAAATAAAAAATAAAAAGGCATGGGGACGGGGCTAGAGTTGTAGCTCAGTGGTAGAGCGCTTGCCTCGCATGCGTGAGGCCCTGGGTTCGGTCCCCAGTACCACATAAAAATAAACAAATAAAAATATTTTTTTTAAAAAAAGGAATAGGGATATAAGTCAGTGGTAAACTGCCCCTGGGTTCAATCCCCAGTACCAAATGTATATATATTTATAAATATAAATATAAATGTGTGTGTGTGTGTGTGTGTCTATCTATCTACAGGGACAGTGGTACACACCTGTAATTCCAGGTACCCAGGAGGCTGAGGCAAAAGCACCATAAATCCAAGGCCAGCCTGGGCAACTTAATGCAACCACCCCAAAACAAAATTTAAAAAGCTGGGATGTAGCTAGTGGTAGAGCACTTGCCTAGCATGTGTGAAGCACTAGGTTTGACATCTAGTACCTCAAAAAATAAATACTGAAGAGTCATCAAACTACAATATGATATCTATTGACTTTCAAAACAGAAAATAAACTTAATTGGTCATGTTCTGCATAAATGTTAAAGCTGGGAAATGGATGTATCAGGTTCTATATGCTCTCTATTTCTGAATATATCTGAAATTCTCCAAATTAAGAAAAATTAAGATAACAAAAACATATGAGCCTTCATTCTTCCTCCCATTATTAACCCTCTACAATCATTCAAAGCACACAGAATATGTTCATACCATTATTTTTATCAGAGCGCTGGGGGTGGCTGTTGACAGGATTAGGTTCTCCATGTGTTGCCCAACGGGTATGAGCTATCCCAAGGTGTACATCAAATTCTATATCCAAATCCATATCTTGTTGTTCTGAACAAAATAAAATTAAAAAAAAACAGTATTAAATAATGCTACAGACAACCATTCATGTTAAAAACACTGGAGAAAATAGGTATAAGGGAAACATATTTCAAGATTATAAAGGCTATATAAACCCAAAGCCAACATCATACTGAATAGAGAAAACTGAAAGGTTTTCCTCTAAAATCAGGTTTAAGATAATGGTGTCCACTCCCACCACTCCTATTTAATACAGTTCTCGAAACTCCAGCCAAAGTAATCAAAGTAATCAGGCAAGAGAAGGAAACTAAAGGGATTCAAATTGAAAAAAGAAAATGTCAAACCATAATTGTTTGCTGACAACATGATCCTATATATAGAAGACCCCCCAAAAAATATACCAGAAGACTTCTAGAGCTGATAAATTAATTCAGCAAAGTAGCAGAATACAAGATCAACACTCATAAATCAGTAACATTTCTATATTCCAATAGCAATTCAGCTGAGAAAGAATTCAGGGAAAACCATCCCTTTCACAATAACCTGGAAAAAAAAAATCTGGGCATTAATCAATCCAAGAAAGTGAAAGAACTCTACAATGAAAACACTGAAGGAAGAAATCAAAGAAAACCTTACCTTAAAAGATGGAAAGACCTCCCATGTTTTTGGATAGGCAGAATTAATACTGTCAAAATGGCCATATTATCAAAAGCAATATACAGATTCAATACAATCCCCATCGAAATACCAATGACATTCTTCACAGAAGTATAAAAAACAGTCCTTAAATTTATTTGAAAGAATAAGAGACCCAGAATAGCCAAAGCTATTCTGAACAAGAAAAGTGATGTAGGAAGTATCCCAAGACTGAATCTCAAATTATACTACAGAGTTATAGTAGCAAAAACAGCATGGTATTGACATCGAAATAGATGTGAAGATCTATGGAATAGAACAGAAGACAGAGAGACAAACCCACATACTTACAGCTATCTGATATCTGACAAAGGTGTCAAAATAAATATGCTGGAGAAAAGACATCCTTTGTTTTTTTCAACATGATAGTAGAGTATATTTTGAAATATTATACATACATAGAATAAGCATAACTTATTCCAATTAGGAGAGCTGCCATAAACACTGAAGTGACTGTATCACTGTAGTATGTCAATTTTAAGTCCTTCAGGTATAAATTGAGATGTAGGATAACTGGGTCAAATGGTGGTTCCATTCCAAATTTTCTAAGGAATCTCCATATTACTTTCCAGAGCAGTTGAACCAATTTGCAGTCCTACCAGCAATGTATAATTGAACCTTATCCCTCACATCCTCTCCAACATTTATTGCTGCTTATATTCTTGATAACTGCCATTCTGACTGGAGTGAGATGGAATCTCAGTATAGTTTTGATTTGCATTTCTCTAATTGCTAGAGATGTTTTTAGTCTTTTTAACAAATGGTACTAGGAAAATACAATATCCATATGTAGAAGAATGAGATTAGATTCCCCTCTCTCACCTTGCACAAAAGTCAAATCAAGGGCTGGAGACTGTAGCTCAGTGGAAGAGCATATGAGGCACTGGGTTCAATCCTCAGCACCACATAAAAATAAATAAACAAAATACAGATTTTTTTTAAAAAGTCAAATCAAAATGGATCAAAGCCTCAGGAATTAGACCAGACACCTTGAAACTGTTAGAAGAAAACACAGGGTTGACACTCTTATCATATAGGTGCAGGCACTGACTTCCTCAACAAGACCCCTAAAGCTCAAGAAATAAAACCAAGAATCAACAAGTGGAATGGCCATCAAATTAAAAAGCATCTTCACAACAAAGGAAGTGATCGAGAACATAGAGAGCCTATAGAACAGGAAAAAAATCTTTGCCAGCTACTCTTCTGACAGGCAATTAATATCCAAAGTATATAAGAATCATTGCCAAAAAAAAAAAAAACCCCACAAATAACCCAATTGATAAATGGGAAAAAAAAAAAACTAAACAGGCATCTCTCAGAAGAAACACAAATAGTCAGAAATATATGAAAAAAATGTTTAAAAATATCTAGCAATCAGAGAAATGCACACCAAAACTACACTAAAGGGCTGGGGACACAGTTCAGTTGGCAGAGTGCCTGTTTCACATGCATAAGGCCTGGTGTTCAATCCCCAGCATCACAAAAAAAAAAAAAAAAAGATATTAAAATTTCATCTTACTCTAGTCAAAGTAGCAATTGTCAAAAACACACAAAAAATAATAAACTCTGGTGAGCATGTGGAGAAAAGCACATTCATACATTGTTGGTGGGACTGCAAATTAGTACAATTACTATGGAAAGACGCAAAGAGATTCCTCAAAAATTTAGGAATGAAACTAGCATATGATCCAGCTATTCCACTCCCTGGTATTAATCCAAATGAACTAAAATCAGCATACAGGTACAGCTACTTCAATGTTTACAACAGCATAATTCACAATCACTAATTATGGAATTGGCCCCAATGTGTGTCAATAGATGAACGATCAAAAATATGATATATATATACACAACAGAGTTTTACTCAGTCATAAATAAGATAAAATAACAGTGTTTGCCGGTAAATGGATGGAAATGGAGAAAGTCATGCTAAGTGAAATAAGCCAAACTCAGAAAAATCAGAGTCCAGTGTTTTCTTTCATGTGAAAGCTGGAACAAAATAAGAGAAAGAAGACAATGGGGGAGGGGGCAAGGTATCATAAAGATAATAGGAAGTTCGGTGGAACACAAGGAGAACAAGAGGGAGGGAGGAAAGAATTGGAAAAAGGAAGAAATATGGAATGAATTTAAGAAAATCATATTATATAGAAATATAAATGTTCAAAGGGTATTTCACCTTTATATGAAAATAAAATAAATGAATAAAGGAGTAAAAGAAAGATCACACAGAAGGGAGAATAGGGGGATAAAGGGAAAGGGGAAAAGGGGTAACAAGAATTGAAATTAAATCCCTACATGTGTTATTTTGTCAAAATGAACCAAAATACTATGTATAATTACAATGCTCTAATTAAAAAAAAAACTACAATATGCTTAAAAAAATAATGCCATAGAAATGCTAGAAGCTATATTAAATTGTACAGCCAGGCAAGGTAATCCCAGTAACTCGGGAAACTGAGACAAGAGGATCATGAGTTTAAAGCCAGCCTCAGCCATGGTGAGGCACTAAGCAACTAAGTGAGACCCTGTCTCTAAATAAAATACAAAATAGGGCTGGGAATGTGGCTCAGTGGTCCAGTGTTCCTGAGTTCAATCCCTGGTACACCACCTAAGCACCTCTGCACCTCCGCAGAAAAATATACAGTAGTACCACTTTGTCAATAAGGGATAGATTTCAAGTGTTCCTCCCATCCCACCCACCCTGTGGATGGCTGATATTGCAGATAGTACCAAACCCTATATATACCATGTGTTTTCCTATATATACATGACACACAAACTTAATACCTTTTCTATCTTAACTAAGCACTTATCATACACTATGGCCATAATTTTTGCAGTTTGAAGTGTGACAGAAAAACTGGCACAAATTTCTTTTTTCTTCTTTATAATTTCACAGATTCATCCTTACTATAGATGTTACCAACCTCTGCTTATGACTTTCCTTTTTTTGTTAAGGAGAAAACTAACATCTTTTATCAAAAAAGTATTTCATGGCTTCTCTTTAGTATGTCTGAATTGTCAGCAACCTTACTCTTTATGTTTTGGGGCCATTATTAAGTAAAGTGAAAACCACCAAGTGAAGACACATGAACAAGGGCACCACTAAAAATAGCTTTTGTCCTACAAACAGCCCTTCCTTTCTCAGGTATGGCAGTTCTGAAGCTACTTCATTTTAAGACACTGAGCTTGCTCTGAACCCTATGTAACTACTTTCCTTTCCTAGTTGTTATGATCATTTTTAAAGCTCATGTACAATTTAAAGCCAATCCAAATAGTAACAAAAGAACTTTTCTTCCCTTGCTTCAACTTTAAGAATCATTATCCTCAAAATGGGTTCCAAAATATTCGGTATTTAGTGGGGAGAGGGGCAAAAATCAATTAAGTACATTACTGTGAACTTCTTCATCCAGTGCCTTAACTTTTCCTTTCTTCTTAATGAGTTGAATTTTGCAGGCATTGGCTTCCCAATCTTTGTCATTGCCTCCATCAACTCCCACACCTAAGACACATAGAAATAGAACAAGATTTAGACACTGCCTATATCCAAGATTATCAATACGAATCAAAATTCTTAATTTAAAATTATTACATTTTCATATAATTCATTTATGAATTTAACATTTACTAAAAACATATTAGGTATCAAATAGCATGATAGCTGCTTGACACAAAAATGAAAACAAGGCTGGAGGTGTAGTAGCTCAGGGGTAGAGAGCTTGCCTAACATACACATGGCCTGGGTTCAATTCCCAGCATCAAAACAAAAGAAAATGACTTCGGTTTCTGTACTCAAACTTCAAAGATTGTTAAAAAGATAGATAAGGGAAACTTAGTGTATTTAAGTTATAATAAAAGTACTACAGGTTGTGATTGGTACACAATGGAGAAATGGAGAAGAGGGGCACATGCCTTAGAAGGCAGATAAGGAGGGAAAGTCAAGAAAGCATTTCTAGAGGGGCTCAGCAGTAGAGCGCTTGCCTAGCATGGGCGAGGCCCTGGGTTCGATCCTCAGCACCACATAAAATAAATAAATAAAGATATTGTGTCAACTACAACTAAAAAATAGATATTAAAAAAAAGCATTTCTAGATATTCTACTTAAATTGCTAAGGAATTTGAAAAAAAAATACCCTAATTGTACTGGGAAATCACTCATTTCAAGCAGAGAAATAATAATGGCAAAAATGGGAAATAATATGGCAAAAACATTTGACAAATTTTCTCTGGAAATGGTGTAGAGGATGAGATGGAGAGGGAGAAAAAGGATAAAGAAAGCAGCTACCAGAAGATAAAGTTGCAGCAAAGCAAAAATAAAGAGGGCCTGAATTAAATAGTGGCAATAAAGATGGGGATACCAAGAAACAGAATAGCCTGAATATGAGGTGAGAAAGGAGAATTCTAGGATACTTCTTAGGCTCAAAGAACTTTTTGAATAATTATTGATAAAAGGGACACAGAAGAGAATGGAGTGGGTGAGAAATGCTATGTATTCAGTTCAATTCTGAATATACGAAGTTTGTAATACTGTCATCTGTCCAGAAAAAATTTCTAGGAGGTGCTGGAAACACAGGTTTTCTGGCAACTTGGGAAATACACCTGGATTAAAAAATACATGCAGATTCTAAATCACCAACACACAGGAAGTTGATGTAATCAGAGCTCACCCAGTGAGCCAAGAGGAGAATCTTACAGAATATTCATATTTAAGCAATAGACAGAAGCAGTCTCTAAAACTGACAGAAAATAAATGATCAGCATCTATATGAAAAGATACATTGTCAGAAAAGCTAAGAAAGGACGATTTCAAGAATAAAGTTAAGCAAGGAGCTGACTTTCTATTACTAAGGGAAATCAAGGAAGATAAATGCCCATTCCATGTAGCAATGTTAAGTGTACAGAAAAGAGGTCTAACTCTGCTATCCTTAGGAAGGCCTGCTCTCAAGGTGGCATGTGGCTGGCATTTGAGGATGTGCATTTCAGGATTCTTGCCATCTAATGGAGTAAGAGTGGCTTGTAGTGCCTAAACTACTCATGCAAACAATATAGCTTATGCAGAACACCTGCTTTTCTTCTGGGAGTTGAGAATTAGACAACTGACGCTTATGTGACCACCTCCTAACAAAAAACCTTGGACACTGAGTCACTTATGAGCTTCCCTGATAGACTTTTCACATGTGTTGCCACAAACTGTTGCTAGAGAAATCAAGGCATCCTGTGTGACTCCACCAGAAAACTCTCGGAAGCTTGTTGTGTCTGGTTTCCTCTAGACTTCACCTCACACACCTTATCCCTTTGCTTTGTATTCTTTTGCTATAATAAATCACAACCATGAGCCATCCTAAGGAAGCATGGAATCTGAGGGCGGTCTTATGGACCCTCAACATAAGGGTAGATCTAAAGTCAAACATAAGTTGCCAGAAAGTTATCTTTATTTGGTTTGCCATGTATATAAAATAGAAAAATCTCAGATCAGTTTATATGATAAAAGCAGGAATCCATGGAGAAAAAGAAAGCTATAGGAAAGAAAAGATTTATACAGTAAATATTAAACTTTTTAAGGTGAGTTACAGACTCAATATTTTATTAAAATCAACAATTCTGTTCCTATGAAGCTGTACCATATGATTTGTTTTTATAGAAACACTGTTAATAATTATATTAACAACCCTTTTAAATATGATAAAAATATAGAAATTCTTCAGAGTTGGATTCATAAAATTTTTTTAAAATAGCCATTAAATATAAATATAAATAATAATAAAAATAATAAATAATAATAAAAACACCCTATTTAGATCAAGAACCATGCAAAACCCTTATTTTTTAAGAAGGAAATACCTGCAGAATCATATCCTCTGTACTCTAATCTCTGAAGGCCTTTGATTAGGGTCTCCAATATTTCTCGTCTTGTGCGAGGAACATGGTAGTTTAAGTATGCAAATATACCTGCAAACAAACAAATATTTAATGGAAAATTCTGATTAATAAATTAAAATTGACATAATTATGCCTGGGATATTCAATAATGTGAAGCTAGATTTTGTTTTCAAAAAAATCATCCAGGCATAGTGTCAGAAACTTGTAATACTAGCTACTTGAGAGGCTGAAGCAGGAAGATCTCAAGTTCAAAGCCAGTCTCAGCAACTGCGAGACACTAAGCAACTCAGTAAGACCCTGCCTGACTCTAAATAAAATACAAAATAGGGCTGAGGATATGGCTCAGTGGTTGAGTGCCCCTGAGTTTAATCCCTGGTACCCCCCTCAAAAAAAGTAATACATTTGAAGATTAAAAATGAAATACAATAATTTAACACCAATTTGTTGAAATAATTTAAAGGCTAATTATATAAAACAAACTGGGGATTCAGAATTTTTTGTTTTTAAGAGATGGAGTCTTACTATGTTGCTCAGACTGGCCTCAAACTGCTGGGATCAAGTGATCCTCCTGCCTCAGCTTCCCAAGTAGCTGGAACTACACGAATGTGCCCCTACTCCCACCTAAAAATAAACTTTTTAAGGTGAGTTACAGACTCAATATTTTATTACAAAGAAGATTCAAAGTGATGTAGCTAGCATTAAATCCACTTTTTAAAAACATGAACTCAACAGCAGCCTTTTACTTTGATATTATTTCTAACTCCAATTTAATTGGTTTAATTTGGCTAGATGTGTGAATCTTAAAATCTTAAGTACATTTTTCAAAAACAGCAAAAAGATCTTCTAAATTGATACCCAACCTCCCCAACTTATCAAATTTTAATTACTTCATAAACTAATTAAATTCATATCAAACATTTGTTACCTCATTAAAAAGTACTCTTGGGTTGAAGAAATCCTATTAATTCCTTTAATTCATGTGTATTCCCAAAGTTTTCCACTCTACTGCCCTGACTCAGCTTCCCCTTCTGTGAAATGAACAACTTTGAAATGGTAACCAACAGGTTTCATAGCAGATGCCAACAAATTATTAACTGGTTGTGGCTGCAAACTATCAATGAAAAGGATTCAGTGACCCTATTTCCTGAATAGGAAGGAAAACCATGACAGATTTAACAACATCTATTATGTGGGATGTAAATCAGGTCTAATATTTCCTACCTCTGATATTTGAGGATAATAACTACAATCCCCATCCAGCTTGACATTCTGAGATTTCTTCTGAGATTGCTTTGGGACATTCATGATCCATTAGACCCCCCCCCCTTTTTTTTTTGGTGGTACTGGAGGCTGGACCCCAGGCCTTGAATTTAACACTACCCATACCTGCTACCACTGTGTCCTACCTCTGAGCCACATCCCAATTTTTTTTTTTAATTTTATTTTGTACAGGGTCTTGTTAAATTGCCAAGGCTGGCCTTGAACTTGTGCTTCTCCTCCTGAGTCTCCTGAGTTGCTGAATACAGGCACGCCCTCCTACTATCCCTGCTTTCAGTTTGAACACTTTTTAACATCTCTACAGACTATACTTCTCTTCTGGGCCTCATTTTTTTGTTAAATCATTTACATGATTTTGTTTGCATACATCGTACCTACCAAATTAATTTTCACAGTACATTATTAAAGATTAATAATAGCAAAGTAAGGGCTGGGGATGTGGCTCAAGCAGTATCGCACTCGCCTGGCATGCGTGCGGCCCGGGTTCGATCCTCAGCACCACATACCAACAAAGATGTTGTGTCCGCCAAAAACTAACTAACTAAATAAACATTTAAAAAAAAAAATAATAGCAAAGTAACAAAATGTTAACATTTTTCTACAAAACCACAATGTTATCACTCCTAAGAGATCATCATCACCTAAATTGGTAAACTTAACAAGACCCTGTCCAAAATAAAATTTAAAAAGGGTTTGAGATGTAGCTCAGAGATAGGACACAGTGGTAGCAGGTATGGGTAGTGTTAAACTCAAGGCCTGGGATCCAGTCTCCAGTACCAAAAAAATACAACTTCTCAAATTTTCCCTATTATCAAAAGCATATATATGTCTTTTACAGCTAGTTGTTTATTCTAGGATTCAATAAGAATCATAACTCACATTTGAATCTGGAATAGTCTCTCCCTAACTGTTCCATTTTCCCCAAAACAAGGCAGGGCCAATTTTCTTGTTGAATGTATCACAGTTCAGGATGGATCTAATTGTTTCCGCAAAGTTTGGATAAAGGAGTTCTCCTATCCTTTGTATTCCCTGTAATCTGGAAGAAAGTCTAAAGGCTTAATTGAATTAGGCTAAAAACTCAATCAAGGGGCTAGGGCTGTAGCTCAGTGGCAGAGTGCTTGCCTCCCACGTGTGAGGCACTGGGTTTGTTTCTTAGTACCACTTAAAAATAAATAAATAAGGATACTGTCTCCATAAAAAATATATTTAAAAAGAAAACAAACCTCAATCAAGAGCAGAATGGTTTCCAGGGCTATATATGTATATTGTTTGCTGGTTCCCTATTAGCAATGCTAAGATTCATGACTGGTTTAAGGTAAAGACAATCAGATAACTGAACCAGTTATTTTGAAAGAATATTCAAAACACTTTCTCCAGCTTTAGAGATATGCATATTTTCTTTCTTTTCAGTTCAGATAATGATGCATTTCCCAATCAGTGACATCTTAGGTTCAGTGAAACACATATATCAAGTTCCAACTCAAACCTGTTTCCTCTTTTACAAATAATCATTTCAATCATTATTTGGTTTACTATTTTTTTTTTAAAGATAGAGTGAGAGAGAGGAGAGAGAGAGGAGAGAGAGAGAGAGAGAGAGAGAGAGA